AAAAAAAAAAAAAAAAACCAAAATATTTGAACAGAAAAAAAAAGAAATTTCTAAAAATCAATGAAATAGTTGAGAGTTAGATGGATATCACGAGTTTGATCTAACATTATTTTGATATGAATATATCATCAAGTAGAAAAATTTTAAATTAGTTCAATCTATTATAGTTATATTATATTATTAACTCAAATTTAATCAACAATAATTGGTAAAATGTTTTCATCACTCACTTATAAATGTCATTAATATTAAATTATTTATTATTATTCGCTAATGCTTATGCCTTATGTGGTTTAGAGTGTAATTTTATACAGAAATGAAGAATTTATAAGTAAGATAGCCCGAAAAGAAGATGATTAATCAATAGTGAGGTTTAAAAAAAATGAAATATTTAATAAGATTTTATCTAATTTTTTAATTTCATTTCAAACCTAGGGTTTTTCACCAAAACTGGAAAGACATCTCATATTCGTAACTGTCTGGAAAAGATAACTTCAGATCTCGATTACCTGTTTGATCTATCCTTTCTTACGATCAGTTTCACATATCCATTCTAACTTGTCCTCTTTAGAATCTATGTAATGGATTCACTTGCAACTTTTTCGAGTGAACAATTTTTAAAGTTTCTCTTCTTTTAAGGTTTGTCCATTGATTGTAAAGATAGCAAGACTTGAATGAAATTTTAGAATGAGGGTTTAATATTCAATTCAATAAAATCTTTTTTTTATTGACAGTACTTTTACAAATAATTCAAATTACGGATGATTTCATCCGTCAAATTCTACTGCACACTAATTTCCTCTAAATAAGCAAAATTATCATTCGCTTCTACAATAAGGTACTTCTGCTTACAGATCACTCTTCAACTTCAAGCCATCCTCATTCTAACAATAATTTATTCTAATCTTTTGGGGAGAAGTATATTTTTTTGAGATCATAAATGCTTCTTCAATTATCTGCAAATCTGCAATTTCATATTTTTGATTTGCTTTTTTAAATGTCATTTTTTAGGATTGCAGCTAAGAGCTGTAAACAAAAGAGACTGAACTTTCTTTTTTTTTTCCTTCCTAAAGGACACTTTCCATGTCACAGATGTCACTCAGACTTTTTATTTCTTTGCTAACATTTTGTAAGCTAACCCAGCAAAGTTTAAAAGATAAAATACAAGGAGCACTATCTTCGTATTCCACAACAAAAAGTTCTCCATTAAGCTCTCAAATCCAATTTGCTATATTGAATTCACTCATTAGTGATACTAGCCGGATTCTCTGCCAAAATTTCTGTACGGGAAAGACTGATCGATAGTCCATGAATCTTTTTTATTATTTATTTTGCATAGTAAAATTTATTTATAACTTCTTTCTGTGTTTGAATTTCTTGCAGATATGATAAGTTGACTGGCACTTTTATTAGACTGTACACATCGAACATTGATCAATTTCATCAGTTTTATTTTTAAATCCTATTCGATAAATGTTTTAAAATTTTCCACCTATTTTAATTGATCGTCGTATTATCGTTTGCTTTGCTAATTTCTTTTTTCTACTATCTCTTTCAATTTTTGTCTTAAATTCCTTCCTACAGATGGATCGACCATCTCATCTTCAAAATCGTAATATAAATTTTTTAATCACTGGTAGATATAGTAAACTAAATTGATTAAAACAACAAAAAGTAAACCAAAAACGACTCACTTTATCTCCAAAACAAATTAGCATTCTTAAATAAAAAATTCCCTGAATGAGAAACAATGTAGCCTTACTTGTCTTGTTCAGTATAGCTATCAAAATTGAACTTTATCTAGCTTTACAGTAACCTCTAGCTAACCTATGTTTATCGTATTATAAGGATAAATAGTTTTTTGAGATTAAAAATACAATTGTGATAGATACCTTACAAATATAATGCATAAGCACTTCATTGTCATCAAATTGTGAATATAATTGCATGAGATTTTGTGATAGTATCAACAATAAAGAGCAAAGGTCAGCAGCGGCCATTGAGCAAAGTGCTATACCGGTACCACTGCGATATTTTTCACTATCATTTCTGAAATAACATTAGCAATATTTATTTGAATAAGCTTATTCAAATGTTAAATTATTTCTTCAATTATCTGTTATCAAAAATGTTGCTATGAAATTTGAATGCAGCATTACTGTAAAAATTATTCTGGAATAAAATTTTATAGATAGAATAACCGTAGTAGAAAATTTTATGCAAACTTTAAAAAGTAAATTAAATTTGAACAAACAATGTGAAATTTGAAAAAGAAATCAAATTTAAATAAACAAGTGTGAAATTTGAAAAATAGATCAAATTTAAAAAATTTAAACAAACAATGTATGTCATATTAACATCTTATATTGATACATATATTAAAATGTTTTAAAATTTTGGAAATGATAGGAATGATGGAAATAAGTGATAAGAGATTACTTAGCTAACTTTTTCATTCGAATCAGCACATAAATATTTGCTGGGATGCCAACAATAGCAGCAATGAAATAAATAAGTAATGTTACCGTTGCGACATTCCTTACGATCGGATCATTTGCCAAGAAATCTTGTCCATCCATGTACTCCAATCAAATTAAATTATTAAATCTCCTCATCTCCTGATTATGATTATTAAATCTCCTTTTTTCAAATTTTTATTGATTTTTTTCAACGTTATCTGTTCACGAAACATTTTACAGTTTTTCATTACAAATTCATTCAGTGATATGTAATGAAATGTCCTTTTGTTCTTTAATAAAATCACCAAAGTAACCCTCGAAAAGATTTTAAATTATGAAAATTATTGTAAGGAAATTCACACAGGTAAAATAATCAAGTTTTTTGAAGCGATTTTATCTATCACTCATTGAAATGTATAAATTTTTTGAAGTCTTTCAAAAAAAATTTCTTAGAAAAAGCTAAAAAAAATTATAGGCTTCCTTTCAGTTTGTGGTTTTTCAATCACTTGAATGAATTATCTGACTGTTTGGAGTGATTTCAAGTAAAAAAATATCCGCAGGCTTTGCATAATTCAAACGAAATGGAAAAATTTTCCAGTTATTCTTATCATATACAAAAGTATAAAGAGAAATATGTACAATGTAAGAAAAAATTTGCAAATTTTCATGAAATATGTGTAACTTACTATCACCTAAAGTATTTTAGGTGGTAGTAAGTTAGTTACACATATTTCATAAAAACTTACTACCACCTAAAGTATTTTTTTACAAAATTTCTAAAGTCTATATATACCTAAAGAAATTTTAAAAAATTGATCATTTTTATTTTTTGTTTCATATGAAATAATAAGTTGGAGAAAAAGGTTTAATAATTTACAACAATTTCAGTTAATTTGAACAAGTTTTTTAGTACTTTTTTGCTAAATTTTAAATTCGAAGGAAATTATTTCCAGCTAATTGCCATTTCTTGGAGCGCTTTTGTTTCTAATTGCCGTTAATTTTAATGCTAAAATTATAAAAATTTGCTGGTTAACTTTATCAAAAAAAGATGGTTAGCAAAATTTTTTCAACATTTCTAATTTTCTTTAGATTGAGGAAGCCTATGCTTTAATTACCAATTTAATTTGTTTCTCTGACTTCAAACCATTCATTAAAATTTCTCCTTTTTTTGCGATCTATCCTATTATTGCATTTCCAAATCCTTTCTGTAAATAAGCATTGTATACAACCATTAATATAATGAGCGAAGGCTAAATTAGTCATCATTTGATGACAAATGCCATCAGAGTTATGGCTCATTTAGCATTTCAGTACTAATTCTAATACTAACCTATTACTCGTTTAAATATATTCAATAAAAAACTTTTGCTCCCTTCTTCTCTTCACTCTAATCTTAAATTCATTTGGCATTTTTTCAAATCTCAATACATACCTGTTTCGCAGTTACAGTAATCTCTAAAATTTTTCGCAAGTCATTTGCAATCTCTGAATAAAAATACCTTAACAATATATTTAAATTTAAAAAAAGAATAATTTCATATCATTGAAGATAATGATTAAATGATATAACTGATTCTAATAAGTAACGCTATTGGATCAAACTTTCATATCATTGATAAAAAAAAAAACAATCACTTCAGAATTGATATAAAGCAGTTATGAATTTAAAAAATTAAAAAAAAAATGCTAACTTCATAATAATCGTAGCTAAAATTCGTAAAACTGCCATTGCTTACTGCAAGTTTGTCAACATCTTTCATTCTAAAAATTGAATGTAAACAAAAACATTAAAATAATTGAATAATTTTTAATTAAAACGCGAACGAAGAAGGAAAATCAATGAAATACAGAGCAATTAAACAAATATATATAAATTTGTTTTTTATAGCAAGATATAATAAGTAATGAAAATAAAACTTCAAACAATTTAGTTTAGAATTTAAATGATTTGGTAAGGCGTAAATAATTTAGCTTAAAATTTAGGCAGTTTGGTAAAACGCATATTTCTATTGTACCTTTGCACATGCTGAATTACTATATAAAATAAGACAGTATTTTAAAAATTGTAGAATATGAATTTTAGAATTTTTTGATCAAAACATTAATTGTTACAATTTTATTCAACGTTTGATTTTTCATTAAATAAAAAATGGAAAAAAAAATTGATTTTTTTTTTTCTGAGAATAACATGCCAAACTAAAGTATTAATGTTTATGGGGAAAAGTATTTAATCTAGAAATGATTCTGGCAGTTTTGTTGTTATTTACATCATTTCATAAATATGCAAATTTGATTTCCTGTTTATTGAGTTGTAAATCGGCCATTTTTTGCATTTTTAAATTGTTTATTTAATGCAAAAATTGATGAATTTATGTGGAAATAATAAATATTTTTGTTTGCTACTTTAATAACAAATGCTTAATTCATACAGTCTTAATGTATAACATTATTTGCATTGGTTACTGTAAATATAATACTTATAATTATTGGTTTGCCGTGAGTTATAAGTTACTTGCATTTGCATGAAGACATGCATATGCAGTCTAAGGCATATGTACAATGTCATGATGTGCATGTCCATTGTCTTATTCCACTAATAGTTAATATATCTTTAATTTTTGCATTACAATGCAACATTTAAAAAACCGTTTCGTCCACTGACTGGTCATTTCACATGTTACCGTGGCTATTTTCGTGGTTAGGTCATTTTTCATCGTAGTTGCAAATTGTTTGCTTCTATTATTTCTTTGAAAATGCAAGTAATGATTATATTCATTTATTCATAATGCTAAAGAATATTACTCAAATTCATGTTAGATGACAAGAATCTTTAAGAATGGAGAAAAGATTTTACAGCAATAATTAACTAAAAAAATTTGCAAATTAAACGATGAAATTCAAAGCACAAATTAAAAAAAAAAACACAGAAATGATCTTTATAAAGTTTCGATTTTTTAATCCTATTTTTGGAATTTAATTTAATTTAATTTAAACAACACAAAAGATCTACTGAATCAAAAGTATGAGAATGACAATAGTATGAGAATAGTTCTATCCATAAACTATACATACATGCAAAAGATATGTCATTCAGTCTTATTTTGATTTAAAAAAAGACGATATGTCGAAAGAAATCTGATAGAGAAAAGAAAATGCACCTAAGGCAATCTTCAGGAAAGGTAATAATTTATATTAATGGATGCAAATAATATATGCTTTTTTGCTAAATTCAATGATTTTTTTTTCAATTTGTTAAAATTAATGATTAAATAAAGAAGTTGAGGCAGAATTTAGTTTTATTTCAAAATTTATATGTATAATTTCACTTCACAATTATGAAATGGAATTGACTGGAAAATTAACATACTTTCTGAAATTTATATTACCATTCTGATTAGAACTGTGGAATATTTGTTGTTGCAAAAAAAAAAAAAATACTCCACATTGAATCTATCTATCAGATTTGTTTCGTTTTATGTTTTATCTCGAGAATTGTAACTTACATATTTTACTTTTCATTTGAATTTACCAAAGTTAGATATAATGCTATTTCACAAATCACTCTTATGTGAAGATAAGTTTACGAGACAAAATTCATGAAATTATTCTCAGATAGTTGAATAAAACAAAAACGTCAGTTCCTGTATCTGAAAGAAAAATAAATTATTTTTTTGAGATCATCCAAATTATTTTTATCAAAAACGATCTATTTTTAAAATAGCATGAGAGGGAAAAATTTTATTTTTAAAATAGCATAAAACGAAAAGAAATACGATCTAAAAATAAAATGTTTACAGTTTCAGAAAAAACATTCCAAAAAGGCTAATTGTTTATGAAATGGATATCTTTTAGAAGAATTTGATCAAATAAATTTCCAAAAATAGATTGAAATCTTTCTAGTAAAAAACGAGGAGTTTTTAATTTTTGATAAACCAAATCTTCAATTGTTTTGTAATAATTAAGCTTATTAATCATTGAAATTTTTTCTGTTTAAATTTAATTTTCAAAAATTTCACTTTTATTTGCATCTTCTCTTCTTCATTGAGTCTTTCATTAAATTATTTCGATAAAATTCAATAAAGCATTTATCTGTCAAACGCAGAGATGTAAATGTGGAAGATATGGAAGTGTATTTGAGTGAAAAAAAGGTTAGAAATGAATGAAATCGCTAGCTGGCAATAAAGAACATCCATTGGAAGTTTTCGAAAGATTTTAAAACTTGAACAAGCGGAATAAAATTTTAGTAAATTAAAAAAAAAATATATATATAATTATACAACATCATCGTAGGAGATAAGTGATATGTATTATAGAAGACTTAGAATAGTTAATGCATTTGCAGATAGAAAATAAAGCTCACAAAATTAAATAGCATCCATTAACATTCCTGGGTGATGCGAAAGATGTGACGGCATTTATCTCTTCAATTTTTCAATTGTTCACAATTCACCGGATTTTTTTTTTCCTGAAAATTAATTTTATTACAATGTGCATTAGCATCGAAATGCGCATTTGTGCTATAATGCTAATGAATGTTAAGGCATATATGCGTCATATCTGGAACCTTTTTTAGCGTTAATTACATTAGTCCTATCCCATTTGCGCATTTCATTAGAGTATACTAATCAATGTTATATGCATTTGCATATTATTCAATAACATTAAGCTTATTTCGCTTTTTTTTCTCTCTCTCTCTCTCTCTCTCTCTTTCTAAAAAAATTTTTAAAGGTAGCTGTTGGATGAATTATTCCGTTTTTGCCATTTCAGATCAACTTGCTTAAATTGGAAAGAAAATATCAAGTAAGATGCATTATACACTTTGCTAATAATAGCTCTTGTCACTAAGGTCAATGAGAAAGAAGAAAACGACTATGCGATCAATTTTGTCTGGATGAGAGGGATAGTGACAGGGTGACAGTTGGAGAAAACAAAACTGAGAAGATGAAGATTTGATTCGAATGTTAGGATAGCTGTCTCAATAGCAGTCACCAAAAATGATCACATTAAATGAGCCCTGAAAATGAATAAGAGAAAATCCCAAATGATGGCAATGTTGCAACAAAAAAAAAAATTCATAAGAATGAAATTGAATTATTAAATTCCTTTTATTTCAAAACAAA